GCGATACATTTTCATGAGTAGAGATTTTCTGTGGGTTTCCTTTCTGATTTTTAGAACAAGGCTGTAAAAGTTAGTTCGTCAACTGTCCATTCTATTTTGTTTTGTGGTGCAGTGGTCTCTTAACCGTCGCATCAGTTTTTCTCAAAAGTTGAACATCTTACAATAGGAGTCTTCTTTCTGACTCAACATTTTATGTTAAACCAATTCATCGATCAGCATTACCAATTACTTCAGGGATTTTATTTAGATCACAATTTTCATCGACATTGAAGAAAATATCATCCATATGAAGTCATCAATAGAATTTGGACCTATTAAAAGGTGGTTGCAGACTACTAGATTTTAGGTGTGCTATGAAACAGCTAGCAAATGAATTAAGTATAGACGCAATGGCTGCTTCATAGTTCTGTCAGTGTATTTCAACATTAAACAGGGATTAAATTTTGAATGGGAATCTCCTGAATACACTAAGTAGGTATTCCTAAATTTTAATTATTGACATAAACAACAAACCGTTCCTGTCATAGGAATGTTTGTAAACAGAGAGACGACATTTAATGGAGCCATAATTACTACAGTTGAGTGATATTAAAGCACAGCCCTAAATTCACGAGTTTCAATGAACAAGTATTGCCAGTCGGTAGCAGTGAATGATATTTTATAGTCATATCTAGACAGCTGGCTTCAAAGCTAAACATTTAAAATTGCATCTTTATTATCTCATGGTCGAACATGCTTCTAATTGCATCGGAAATTCCTAGCCTTTATGAATATCCCAGTTGCGCTCATTTTACACTGATGTACTTAGAGAATATGTCAGATTATCGCCCAAGGTGCTTTTTAGACGTGCTTTGCCATTATTTTTCTAAAAGGTTCTAAAATTTCCAACATCCATTGAGCTACAAAATGAAACGGCGACACTGGTATATCTAAAAGTGAACTCATGGATAATCCTTCTTTGTGAAATCTAGGCAAACCATGAAAACGTGATATCTTTCACACCGATGGTCCAATTTGTTTTACAAATACCTCATCAATGATTCTTAGAATTTCTCTGATTTTTGTGAGAATTTTCATAAATCTTTTTTCTATTTTTTCATCCCCTGCGTTTCGAGTAGTACATGTGGCTCTGAGCTCTGGGCTTTGAGGTTTCATCAGATGTGGTAGTGTTGTTTTTATGGGATGGATTTGCTAGCCTCATGCTCAACCTGACCTGTTTGCAGAGAGAGCTACTGAACCTAGACTTCCTGCTTGGTTGGCAAGCAGCCTACTATTGAGTCGCTTATGGACAGATTTTTTGTATTCGTGTAATGTGAATCTTTTCATCCAACTAGCTCTATGAACTTGATGTCATCATCCGAAATTGTTGACATCCTTACTATATATTATCTGATTTGTTTAGGAAATATCAGTTTGTCTGTGCTTGTAATATAATGCTCCTTAGCCTTACTCTAACGTCGGTGGCATAGCCGTTATGACGCTTGTCGACCATGCACATGGTCCGGGGTTCGATCCCCGGCCACAGACACACTCCTTTACCTTGCTAAGCCAGAAATAATGCTGGTAAAGAGGAAAGGTTGGGGATGAGGCTAGCAACCCCATCCTGTAAAATTAAACACTGCTACAGAAACTTCAAGCCACTAGCTTGAGGCCCTATGTTCCACTGGGAACGTGTAGGAAAAAAGCCTTACTCTAGGTTGGGAAGGTGGTGTGTGTTAGGAGTAGAAATTACTTCCTGTAAAGCCACGAATTAGTTTTTTTCTTTGATATATATTTTTTCGAAATCATCTTGTTTGCTTACACAAACAGATGAATGAAGTTATGAAGGAGAATAATAAAAACTGATTATCGACTACAAAATGTAAACAAAAAGACACTTACCTAAATAAGGTGTATCAAGGTGCATGCTAAATTTAGTCACTTGTACACATATTCATGCAAGAATTCTCCATGTATGAAAAGGAATAGACCATATCACTGTGTACAAACATTTATGTAATTAAAATAAACAAACACTTCATGTAAAAGTTAAATAAAGAAGGATTTAGAAAGACTTATCAGATATTATCTCCAAATTTATAACTTGGAATAAAAAGTATAAATATACAGTTTACTAAAACAGAGATAACTTTATAATGTAAACAAATTACCTCATTTGCAGTACAAGTTTATTTGTTTTAGTAAGAAAGAAATATGCGAGTGAACAAAGTAACAATATTATTAGTAGTAATACGGTGATTGAACAAACCATGGCTTAAAATTCAAGTAGTAGCCCAAAATGTAGGAGTTTGTTATTATCCTACTGCCTACAGAAACTCTATAACAGTAGTAGTTCGTCCACCTGAAAAGTCTAAAATAGGACGAAACGTGAGTCTTGGATTCACCACTGGCTGGTGGTAGTAACCTTTGAACTTTAACATTTAATTCTCTTTGGGTATGATTAGTGTAGCTTCCAATATAGACATTAATCGTTATCGTAATTTTTGCCTTTATAAGTCTATCTTTATTTTTAAAATATACATGTTTGACAAATTTTGTCATTGCCAGGAAGAAGATCGTGATGCTGTACGCGAACTTCAACGTGATTTAGAAGCAGCGAACAAAGCCTGTAGGATATTACAATTCAAGTTACGCAAAGCTGAAAGACGTTTTGAACAATGTGAAGCTGAACGAGCCAATTTAGAAGAACGTTTAGCTAGACTTGAATCTGAATTGTACAGTGAAGCTGATGTTGCTCATATTCATAATTTAGAAGTAAGTTATTATTTTTTTTTAAATTAAGGATTATTTGTAAAAAATATAGAAAATCAAGGCATAATTTTAGGATTATTTTCGTATGATTTCATAAAGAGATGAGTATTTCGTCCTAAACCGTGATAATATCAATACTGGAGTTAATCTAAAACCTCTAAATACTCGCAATATCTCAATACTATTCCCCTGCTCATCAGTTGTTACGGGAATCATACTTTGAAGTTTTATCAAGAAGTCAGGATTAGTTGCATCAGCAGTGTTACTTGAGAAGTGAAAAGTCATCATTTGCAATGGTCGGTGGTGGTGCATTGTCACTAACTGATAAAAGGTAGAGTTCACATGTCACTCAGTTCCAACCAAATAGCTGAATAATCAAGGAGCTCGCTCCATATCCTGAAAGTCCCGATGAATGAATCCGTCAGTAGATATGTAGAGGGCAAAGGAAGTATCTCGCTGGCTGGTGATCTTAATAATATTTTATTCTCTCACTTATTTTATTTATAATAGGCGTATAGTATCAGAGCAATGAACATTCTTTGCTCGATTATTTTGTGTTTTATAGATGTCTGAATGAATATTTTTGCTATATTGAAATCTTCTGAGCATCATTTTGCGTTAAAAGTACTCAACGAGTATTTGAAGTACAGAGCAAGGCTCAGTGAAGCAAAGACTACTGTTGACTTTATCCACCAGTGTATTGTAACAAACCGGTACCCTAAATCTTATTGGAAATCTCTATGCCGTAGCAGAGTCTGGCCTAATGATGAGACACTCAAACACCATGCACGTAACCAAATTGACTCAATTCAATTGTGTATTACTGAGTTATCGAAGAACGTAACAGAAAGGTTCAGTGCTGTCGACGAATTACCAGAAGACTTAAAAGAACTATTTTTAGATTATCTGGATGTAATTGTGAGTAATAGGAAAGAAAACAAACGCCTGAAGCTGGTATAGAGATCAGAGAACAAGGCACCTGAAACAAGATTTCCTCCGAACCCAAATCGTTTTTTGTTTAATTTTTCGGATGTAATACTTAGTGAAGTGGATCTACAGGCTTTATCGCTTGGCCCTAAATTTTGTGATAGCCATGTAAAAGTCAACAGAATGGATGCACAAATTCATTTCAAAAGTCTCTTCACACTCAAACGGAATGCCTAACACCCTCATCAACTGAAGATGTTGAAAGACTGAAATCAACACTGGTCGATTTTTGCTATTATTACATGAATATTAAACGCAATTCGGATAGTATCTTGAACAAAAAACATAGAGAAACTCTGGATGTTCTCCACAAAAATGATAACATAATAATAACAAAACCGGATAAGGGCTCAAGAGTGGTTATCATGAACAAAGCGGATTACTTTGAGAAGATGAATACCATTCTTAATGATAACCTAAAATTCCAAAAAATCTCCTCTTCTCTGGATCCGATTGAAAAGATAGAGAAACAGTTAGCGGAAACATTGAAAAGACTGAAACAACAAGGTTTCATCTCACAGAGTCAGTACACATCACTTAAACCCACTGGAACGTTCACACCAAGACTATATGGCTCGCCTAAACTGCACAAAAATGGTGTACCGCATCGACCAGTATTAGATATGTTAAATTCACCATACCATCCTGTAGCCAAATGGTTAGTAGAACTTTTACAGCCTCTTCATACCGAATTGGTGAAACCCAGTGTAAAGGATATCTTTGGATTTGTTGAAAGGATAAAAGATTTAAATGTTGACAATAAATTCATGATATCATTTGACGTATCTTCCTTATTGAACAATGTACCATTCATGGAAACAGTGGATTTTGTATGCGAAGAACTCAAAAGACGAAACATCGATGTTGCCATTCCTATGTCTTTTATGAAAGAGCTTCTCTTGAAATGTACAATGAATACCCACTTTTTATTTAATAAGAAACTATATAGACAAATCGACGGTGTGGCAATGAGGTCACCACTAGGACCCATACTAGCTGACATTTTCCTTGCAAAACTAGAAAATGGGCCTTTGTAGGATGTCATTAATGAACTCGAATTTTATTGTCGGTACATGGATGATACTTTTTTGATTATGAAAAACGAGAAGGAAGCAAACAGCATTCTGGATAAATTTAATGAGGTATATCCTGCAATAAATTTTACTGTTGAGAAAGAAAAAGACTTTAGTATTCCATTTTTAGATGTTCGTATGACAAGAAAAGAGGATGGCACAATGAGAAGAAGTGTATGTAGAAAACCTACACCAACGCGTCAGTATACTCGTTTATTCAGTTTCGTGCCCTTAAAATACAAACGCAGTCTGATAAAGTGCTTGGTTTACAGAGCAAGAGAGATTTGCTCGGACGAATGTCTTGACGAGGAACTTAACAATATTAAATGGTTGCTAAGTGAAAATGGTTATCCTGAAAAGTTTATTCATAAAAATATGAATCTGAAACCAAAGCAGTCCAAGTTAACAACAGTTCCAAGAAAAGCCTTATTCTTATAGATGCAGTTCCTAGGGGACAGCACCAGCGAGATACTTACACAACGCCTTAGAAATGAGGTAAAAAGAGCATTCCCTGCTGCTGGATTACGCTGTATCTTTAAAACCACTCCTCTACTGCGTTCGAGAATAAAAGACAAACTGCCTAGTTTCGCCTCCTCCATGTGTATCCACCAATTTAACTGCTCCTGTGGAGCCAGTTACATAGGCCGTACAATCAGGCGTGTTTCTAGTCGAATTTCCCAACATCACCCTGCCTGGTTAAGCAAAGGACAAACAAAATCTATTCGCAGAGCTATTCTGTCTCATCTCGTAGAGACAGAACACAGGATTAACGTTAACCATGCTTTCAAGGTCATTTACCACATACCTACGAATCTCAATTTTGCCTTAAGAGTTCGACTACTAAATATTGCTGAGGTTGGCTGTGGGGATCCATATTAACAAGCCTAATTTATGCATCCAAAAGAAGTTAGTTCAGACATTATCATTACCTTGGCCATCCAGGTTTGAATAATCCTGAATTTTTGTGTAATTTCCTAATTTTGGTTGATATTCTATTCGATATTATATTCTTCATTATTTTTGTTATAATTTAAGCATCTTTAATGAACTGTAATTGTGTTGATCATATTTATTTAAAAAAACACTAATATTGTTATTAACTACCAATCTAGAATATTCTGGTATATAAACAAAGGTATATATAATTGGAGAGCTGGAAGAGGAATTTGTCGAAAAGAATATTCTTTGCTCGATTATTTTGTGTAATAATAGATTACACAATAACCAGTTTTAAAGGTTATATATAATAATAATAATAATCACTTTATTCCAGAGTACAGAATAATCTCGCCATCAAATATTGTATTATAGAAATCGCTTAGTTATATCTGATGTGTCAGACGACTAACGTTTTTCGGGGTTCGATTCCTGGTCTACACACTCTTAAACCTCTCTTAGCCGGTAGTGACGCGGTAAAGAACAAAAAGTCAGGTGTGAAGCTGACAATTCCACCTTGTAAAAAATTCAGTACTGAAACATGAAGTCTTGTGTTACACTTAGAAAGTAAAGGATTGAAAAATAAACAAATAAGTTACACTATGTATCCCAGTGTCAGAGATCAAGGATAAACAGATTTTAAAAAATTGAGATATTTGGCGATTTGACTTCCTTAACTGAAACAACTGCCTCATAAAGTCAAAGATGAACTGGTCACTGGTGAATCTGTAATTTAGTCAGTAGACTGAAGGTTATAAGATATGCGGTTAAACTATTATAATACATAAGATTATGAGTGAACTAGAATTGTAGCACATTTATGTGAATGTGTTTGTACAAGTTAGCAATGTATCTTATTTCGTCAGACTTGTCAGACAATTTAGTGTCAAAATAACCAATTTAATAGTTTCTGGTTTTAAAAACTTAAGTAATCTGTAATTGTTTAAATAAATTACTTTTTATTATCTTGAAATAAAGTGTGTCCCCCCAAGTTTATTTTAGAAGAAATTTCAGCTACATTTACATCACAAATAAAGTCAACAAACAGAAAATTAATGCCATAACCATGGTGAATGTGTACTTAGAGGTAGCTAACTTGCAGTTTGTACAGGGAGGGCACAGTGGTTAGGACTCTCGCCGACCATGCACGTGGTCCGGGGTTCGAGCCCGCACCGACGCACATCTGATATCTATGGTCGGCCTGCAAAATTTGGGCTCCCGGTATCCATGCTGAAAATTCCATACTTGTACCAAAACTACAGTGTGGAATCAAGCTGTAAATCAAAAATAAAAAAAAATAAAAAAAATAAATGAAAGGATTACAAACTATTTAATTGTTGGAAAAAAAATGTTGGGAGTAAAGGTGGAATTGTCATTAGAAGAGCATAGACAAGCATAGACAAGTTTGTTTATGGGCTAAAGCAGCAATCATGTGATTATTACTCAAGGACGATCGACTGAAAAACAGGGTTCATCGATTCTTAAAGACCAAATCAAATGGAACTATTTCAAATATTATTCTAACAACCCAACAAATTTAAGTTAAAGAGACTGATATCCATATCATATTATTACTTCAAATCACTTCTATGAAGTTCCTTAAAAAACTATAAAAGTAGGCACACAAAAAGAACAAAAAGGGGACCTGAAGTCATCAATCACCATCATGCGACATCATCAATGAAAATGACATCTAAAATAAGTATTAAAAATGGCCTCATTGTAATACTCACACTTCATAAAGTCCTTGCTTTCTGAAACAACCGTTAGTTGTCGTTTTACTCTCCTAGTGGCCCTGTAGTGAGCTGCATACCCCTAACTAATCGTTTTTAAAAAGTCTTGTGTTTTCAGTCTGCCAAACACTACTGAAATTTCTGTTCCCATTTCAAGGTTTAGAAGGAGAAGAAATTAAAGTATTTTGCTGAGAAATAAGAATCAGTAAACTCCAAACGATAAAAGGACGAATTTATCTGAATTGTGTAATATGTATTTCAGCAAGACGTTTAGAAAATTTTGAGCACATACACACGTCCCTTTATTACATACTTATGATAAGGCACAGAAGGTCAAAAATGAATCACTATGGTCCAAGAAAAGTTCAGTGTTTTACTAAATACTATTTAAAGTTAAAAACAGCCAGAGATTTAACAAACTTAATTATATGACTAAAACATGCTTCAACTACGGGCTCGAAGGTAGTGCTAAGATTAATTTCAACTGTTACATCTTGTCACGAACCGAAATCAATTAAGGATAACTGAAAACCAGGGAGCAATGGATAGCCATTTTGTCCTATTTCGGCAGTGTTCATCATTGCTCACTCATGACCGCATCAGCGACCCAACCTGAAACACAGGTTTTACGAGACCAAGTACAGTTACGAGACCAGTACAGCTTCATAACATCTACCCAGCAGTGGTCAGTTAGCTGGGGACTGATATTTAGATTATAGGACTTCTGGGAATTTCATCAACAGCAGTTAGTTATCAGTTATTGGAAATCATTCAGTATCCGTTTTAGAGTCTGGCTGAGTCTATGGGGTCTCTTAATTTACAAATTTACAAAGCTTAACCAATTTCACAGGTTTTTGTATTTGTTCTTCACTGTTATCCTCACTAGATATCTGCTGAATACTTCTGAAGAAACACTTAAAAAATATCTTGGAGTGGATAGAAAGTATCAGTAATTGAGATACCATGGTTCTAGTGTCTTGTTGCTTCGTTTTCTTGAAAGGAGAGTTTCCCAGATATGTGCAATGGTTAATGAATGAATTATTCCAATTGTGCATATTTAGTATTCATTTGATAAATTAAGGGAGATTCATTATTCATTCAATCTCTCTACTTAAATAAACTGAAGTTTAAAACTCTCACCCTGTCGTACTGAATAGTGTGGGCAGGAGTCACTGCATGTATTGCAATAGTTGCCCTTTTTTCTAGATTACTTATCTTTAGCAAGAACTATGAATGCTTTTCTGACTAAATTATTGTGTGACCTCGATTCGTGTATGTACGTGACCTCAAAGTCATCACACAGTATTTGGCAGGTTATTTTGTTTTACCTAATTAATACTACTGGATATCCCAAATTTGATAGCTTCTTTTCAAGTGAAGTTATAGGTTTAAATGACACTGTAACACCAGCCCTGTCAAGAATCATAGGTGAAGCTGATAATATCCCTTCTACATATTGCAACAACACAGAGGCTTCAGATTCTGTCTTGTGTTACAACCAACACTAATATTAATATCCACTTTATTTCATTAGGTCATGTAAACGTTTTTATAAATTCTAGAAGGTAATTATTGAATGTTAGTGTCCATTTAGTGTATGTGAATAAATTATTAGATTACATGTTTAATAACGAGCTGACATCAGCTAAAGAAGCATTGGAAAACCAAGCAGTACTGATTAAGTGTTTCGTCCTCGTTTGGAGCTCTTAAGCAGCACGCATCCACTGAGGCTCGAACCTAACACCTTCCGATTGTAAGGCGTGGTTGTAGGCCATTCAGCCACTGATAGCTGATTCAGTGGTTCATGAATTCCAGGTTCTGCCAATTTACGATATTCACATATGTCAAACGCCAGCAGGTGTCATAGGTAAGTAACCGGCCTCTTACCAGACTTGATGGACATGGTTCTCCAATGTTCCTCTAACTGACGTAAACTCGTAATGAAACCTGTAACTAATCTTCTCTCTGTAAGCCAACAGACGTAAACATAAAGGGTTTTTTGGAATAATAATCAAGGGTCTTCCTCCACTGCCGGGACATTTTACGAAACCTGCATTAACAGCTTTGTGATTTGTGTTCACTATGCCAAACAGTAAAAATACCGCAGCATTGTATGCTTTCTGATATAAACAAATGCCACACCACCCAATTTTTTTTAAATTAACCATTACTGTAATTGAAAAAAGTGTTCATTGTCCAATTTCCAGGTCAAATCATTCCGATAGCATTGATAACACTAATTATTAGAAGTAAATAAGAAAATATTTAAATCGACCAACTAAGCCACTAAACTATTTTCATTTTTAATTTTGGAAAAAATATATGGTGAATAAAGATAAATTGTTTGTTAGAACTGAGGTATTCAGGTATTCCAATTTTTATAATTAAATTTAACTGACTTTAGCATCGTTAATAATACACTGAACATTGAACAGGTTAGTTGGATTTCCAATGGATGCGTCTTTTTTGTGTAAGTGGATACAGCGAGTACACAAATGTAGAGTTTTTGAAAAAAGATTTGTTCAAATACATATGTGTGAAGAAATATTTTTTTATTAGAAAAAAGGGAAGGAGAAAGATCATTCATTGAAGTAAAACAAATGAATTATACAGATGTTCAAACACCTGTTGTGTCTGATATGTATCCATAGTGACAAATAGTTTTAGACATTGGTAATTAACTGATTATCACTTGAGTTGTAACTGAACTGTAGCATTTCGCACATACACATAATACAAGGCTAAACACAGGAACACAAAAATGCCTAAGAACTTTTAATTCTAATCTCTTATGTTCAAGAGAACTTAAAGATAGCAATCCCCCTGGAAGGCTATCGAAAATTCAGCATATAAATGGACGGTTAACGTTTCTAACTCTGAATTTGCTGTAATAAGTAGTAATTATAACAGGCAGCATGCATGAGAATGTGAAAACCAGTCATGATCAAGAAAGAAAATAAAGGTGTTTCTTACTTTGAAATCACTGTGCAGATATTTAGTTTTCAGCACTGAGAATAAGATCAGAGTTTTTGACACAAATATCAAGTGAGTGCTTCTATATGATTCACAGATTTCGTTCACGCGTCATGTAGAAAATTTTCAGCAGCCTGTGGATATTCAATAACGGATATCCTTACTGGATGCTGAAAGTCAGATAGACGGCCGGAAAGAATAAGCAGCTAGAAACCCTGGTAGAAAGTGAACTAACTGACAAAGTCTTGCTTAACAAATCTGTAAGAGGTAATGGATATGAATCGGAAACCTTCAAGTGACGTCGGACGTTAGGCCTTCCAGCGAAGCCTAAATGAAAACTGA